AAATATTAACCACCCATCCCACCCCAGGGGAGGACATCCACCACACAGTAATCTTGTGCGTGGGAAATTAATGTCTCCTACCCCAACCCTACGGTTTTACGTCCCATCCGAGAAGACGAGAGTCAGGTACATGTAAGGAGTTCTCTGTCTATTCACTCTTTATAGTTTTACAGTTATTAGTAATCATTTCTTTTATTCTAATGACCTTAATGTTTGATTTAGGAGTGATGTTGTAAGCAGAAATTAGATACTTGTCGCTGTTAGGGGGTCAAGGTCGCAAAACAGTCCTTTGCAGGTTTTAAGGGGGGTAAGTTTCTAAAGAAACTGTGGTGCTACGTCGGTGGCAGAGTATAGCAGGTAATTTAGTGTTAACAACTGAGTTGAAAACGTAAATTGGCCACCGTAAAGGGTAAAAAAGCTGACATTTTGAGCATTAGCCCTTCGTCAGAGTGATTGCAGGTTTTGCAGGATATTGACTATTCTTCAGAGGAGTCTATCCTAACCTTGAATCTCTAAATTGTCACTCATGGAAAATCGATCATGGTTGGTTCTGCAGGCCGTTCAATGAGCAGAGGTCTTGTTAATAGTGATGTATTCAAAGTCGATCATGTTTAGTGCTAGAGTGGTGGATGTTCAGTTTTTTGTTTTTTTTTTTTTTAATTTCAATCTAAAGGAACCTCAGGTCAGGAACTGGGTCTCTGTTTAGATTATCAGGAAGGTTATCGACGAATTAGTACAATAATCGATTTGCTAATTCCTGCAGTGATGTGACAGCGGTTCGTAATACTATACTTGCAGCACATCAACAAAAATGTGACTTTCAACATCAAAAGATACTTACAATAGACACAAGACGTGTGCATTAGAAATGCTTTCGCTGTCTCGTATAATAAAAGAGCCATTTTTCCTCGTGCTCAGCAACAATTCCTCTGCACGAATCCTACTAATGTCTGGTTGGTGCCAAGGAAATGACATGAGAAAGGCAGCAGTGGCGCGATCTCACTTCCTGTTAGAAACTTTTGGACCTCTAAGCCTCTAGGCAATAGTATCAATTATGCCATGAAACCAATTTGAGGGCTTTGTTTACGCTTAGTCAATATTTGAATCCACAACATTGCACTTCCTCTTCAGGACTACTGCAATTCGTCTACCCAGGGTTCAAGTGAAATAGGAAATATGAAATGACTTTTCGTGGTGGCATAAATCGATGCACATTCTTCCTTTACAGGTATACCGCTGGACCTATCTTCCCTTGCTGTTGTCGTCTTGCTCCGTCTTGAGAAGTTTTGTGTTTCATATATCGCAAGTGTGGTAAGAACAGGTCGTAGGCGATAAGATACAGCTTGGGAAACAAAGGAAACAAGTCAGAAGGAAGGTTCATAAATAAACAGGTACATCGACTTTGAATTTACATGAATTGAAGAGTTATTCACTTTCATTTTCAAGCTTTGCGTCTCCTTCACTTTCTAATCTATTCATCCTGTCTGGTTAGGTTCTTACATGGATGGATGATTGTTCTGAACAAGAAGGGCAAGGGGTAACCCGTGGAAAAAGGTTCGCTTCATTTGTTTTCATTGAAAATCTTTTTAGGAGTTTATTTTTAAAACGTTAGAGTTATCTATCGACTGAAATAGCGTAAAGGATATGAAAACAGATGTATCCTTTAGATGGCTTTTGAGCCCGCAATGGCTCTACGTTTGAGCGAAATTTTACAGCTCAGTTTAGGACAATGACCGGCATGATGAATAAATATCGTAATGGGGCTTTGCTACCGTTTTCGTTCACATTTTTCAAACAACAATTTTAGTTTCTGCTGCAAGAATTAAGCGCTACATTACCTGCGTTCGTGTTCCTTGAACAATGTGAACTACACAAACATCTACCGCAACGTAGTGTAATTAGTTTGAAATAGGTAATCCCTCTGTGCCTCCTAAACACATGTTTAAAGGATTAACTCTTACAGTTTTAACTATGAACCTAGGGCCTTAGGACGCCTCGTTAGTAATCGCAGTTGAAACTGAATTGATGTTTGAACTGGTCCTATCAAGGCATTCATGTGCGTTAGCAGCACATGTCAAAGTCATATCGACAAAGTTTAGTACCTTTTGTGATCGCAAACAAAGAGACTTGCAATGTGTGTTGAGGTTATTGATTATACTGTAAACATGATAGACAGTCACATCATTGACTAGGCTCATGTGCATGAGAACTCAGCCAAGATGCTATTTATTTCCCCCATAGTAATATCCTTGTTGTAATTATTCCTAAATTGTGACAAATTTGATGCTCATTGGATGTATTGTAGTGCGTGTGAATTGCAAATAATTTTCAAATGATGCTTGTTTGTGTAGCTCTACCATCTAAATATGGCAGTACTGTTTACATAGACCTTATGTTATCTACTGCATAGTTTGAAGAATGGTGAAACATTTTCTGCACTGATGTGAAAAAGCACTCCTTAACTTTAGGAAACATTACAACAATTTCACACATTTCACCAGAAAAGCGTGATATTCCCTGAGCAAAATACCAGGGGATTGTTTGGTAATCAAGCTGAACTGCTTTGAGAAGATTATTTTCTTAGCACCTTCTTGACTTTTCAGCCAGCGATTTAAAGGGATATACAATTTGGGAAATCTTTATAAAGGAAAATTTCTTCAAGTAAGGTTTAAGTTATTTAACATCAGACACACAGTTGGGTGAAATTAGGTGCTTCAGAGTGTCTAGGCAAAATTTAAACTGAATTTTTTAAATACATTGATGAAAAAGCTAAATGGGTACCTGTGTGCATGTGCAGTGAGATTAACTTTCATATGGGCCATCATGGAAGAAAAGCCTCCTAATTTATTATTCATTTGGCTGTTTGTTGTATTTGTAAACAGTTTTGATGCTGTAAGAGCCATGACCACCAAGTAGTGGTTTGCTTATATTCAAATGAAATGGTTACGTGTACCATATTTGTATTCTTGCTGCAAAATTTGTAACCAGATTGGACTTTTACAGCTGTAGTACAGCAGAGGTAGCTTTGAACACCACATCACACAAAAAGTATTTCCTCCTCATCTTAATGTTTACTTTGACCAGAATTCATAAAAAAAATTCAACAAAACAGGAGCTTAAAGGAATTTAAACTGCAAAAATTTTACTTTTAACTTTTTTAAGCACTGAGGAAAATGATTAGCTGATTTGTCTAATTGCATTTGAATATCATGTTATGATGGGTACATTAAAGATGATGGAACTTTGCAAATTGGTTCATGGCACAAATTCCAACCCTATGAGCAGCAACCATGCCAGGCATTATCACAATAGCTAAACAATAGATAGAATGTCAGCTCAAAATCTTAGCTTTACATGTACTTACCTTACTTGACCTTACCTAACCTTACTTGAAGACATGTACTTGTCAAAGGGAAAGAGAAATTAAGTATAACAATAAGAAAAACACAGGCTTCCTTCTTTTGCATTGAGTGGCTTGAAAAAAAAGCACTTTTTGGAAGACTTTTTACCTTGCTAGAAGAAGGAAATCTTTACTTCACTAATATGGCTCTGCTTCTCCTGCAGTGCTTGAAACTCCCCACACACTAAAAACACAATCCCACTGAGCTAGAAAAAATGTGCTCTTCTTCATTTAGTTCTCCATTAGAGGAAACCCACTTTTCTATATTGAAAGCTTCCTCAAGATGCATGCTTGTATCTTGTGGTTCAATGTTATTCCTTATTGAAAGCTTCCTTGAGATACATGCTTGTATCTTGTGGCTCAATGTTATCCCTTATTCTAATTTCACCTTCATTTTTGCAAACTCAATATCATACATTACCAAATCCACCACCAACCAAACAATGAAGTTTGGTAAATCAAGGATACAGATGGACCACACCTTACACCCATGGAGTCATATGGCTGTTAAAGATGATTTGTATGTCTTTTGCAATATGCAAGTTTGTAGTTCATGCTTTTAATTGATTTGCTAGTATTTTTTTTTTAACAGAAACAAAGTACAAGGAAAAAGGAAAGGATCAACCAATCAAACCACTTCTAAGGAAGTGGATAACAAGAGGTAATGCAAAGGATCAACTAAAGACTGTTAATCTACATTGTTTTTCATTAACTTGACACATCTCAGATTCTCACCACTGTCTAGAAGTTTTTAATGTTGCTTTGTTATTAACTGTAAGAGGTAAACTTGCATTTCCCACCGACAGATCTAAACCCAGCCATCAAAGGCGATCATCTCTGACACAAAGAAGTCAGTCTACTGTAACCTGCACATACAAGTGAGTCATCCAAAACCATATTTGAAGTCTTTATAGAGGAGCTAATGTAAAATTTTATTTGCTCAATTGTTAGGAAACGAATCAATGATTCAGGTGCATTTCATGAATAATGTATCTGCTTTGTTTAGTTTAAGGTCACGTAGTGCATCAACAAGCCCTCGTTCTAGTACAAGTGATTGTTCAACTCACAGGTGAAGGGAATATCAATAATAGCAGACCTTATGCATATTTCTTTCAGAGAAGTATTATATTTTTAATGTTATTACAGTTATGTGCAGGTGTCAATAGCATATTAGGTTAATAAGGATGTATTTTACTGTGCTCTGTGCAATCCTTTTTTACTGATTTTCCTCCAAAGTGGCAGCTTAAAAGGAAAATCACTAAATGTTAAAAAAAAGACTTAATATTAAAATTCAGGTCATTATTTTACAAGCACATAATTAAGGACCTGATATTTGATAAGTTTGAAATTGAAGTTTTGTTCCAAACATGAATAAACTTGAAGAATGAGACATTTGTTTGACTGCAGGTGTTTGCTATACCTTCAGTCACACTAACCATAGTATATATAAACAATTCCATGATCAACATGCCCTCAATAATGTGGTTGCATTGCAGTGACTTCTAATGAGCATTATCTGGACTATGTACTTTCTTGTAATGGCAATAATTTTTGTTTGTGTGAAATTTTTAAGAATTTGTGTCCACCAACAGCTGTAGGTAGCTGTTGCTGAAGTCAATAGAATTTTCTTTCTCTCTTAAGTGGTCAACCAACCCAAGAAAAGCAGGAAGCTTATAGGAAGCCTACGGCTGTGCCTTCATTTGCTGCAGCTTTCAGCAAATCAAGGCAATCCCAGCCTTCTTTGACGGTCATTGGTAATTTGGTGACATCTCAACCCTCTACTCTCCATCTGAGCAATCCCTCATCATCAGCCATTGGTAACTTATCCTCCTCATCCAAGTCTTCCTCTCGTGGAAGACGCTCTGCGTCATCATCGTCATTATCTGATAAGTCTGCTGGACCAAGCCAATCTGCATCCCGAACTACCTGTGCACCATCACGAAGTTGGAGAAGGAGTGACCCGCCTGAGCCTAGTACAGGCTTAAGGCGGTCACAGAGATTAAAAGAGACAACGGGATCTTGTGCCAGCAACAGGTCTGGTTTTTATATTAAGTGCTTGTAGTCATTTGAACAGAAAAGCTACTTTGTATTATATCAATACACTTTGTTCCCATGTTTTGGTGATAATACTAAATAACTCTGCTATACAGTTAAGTATATGAATTTCAGTTTGTACTGCAGGGTTGTAGGTGAGGAATAGCCTGCTGGTTGAGTTAAGATCTGAGCTTGCTGAAAAGGAGATCTAGAAACAAACAAGGCTCCTAAGCTTCATATTTACAAGTGCTGTGGTGGCACCAATACTCAAGTTATTCAGGAGTTTTTTCAAACCTTTTCAGAACAAGGATATGTTTTGATATTCAAAGATTATGCATGTACCACCTAAAAACCATTCATTTCCCTTTACCAAATAATTACCTGCCAGAATCTAGCAATCAATCTTCACTTTCTCATCCCCCAAATTATGCTAGCAGCTGGCACTTAGTGACAAGCTTAAGGTATTATGTTCCTCTCAGAAGTGTGAGAGGTTATTTATAGAGGAACATAACATTGTGAAATAGTGAAACTTACATGTACAAATTCATAACCTGTTAAAAATTTTGCGCTGACTGCGCATTCAGTATGTAGAGAAAATATTTTGAAATGCACTTATTTACATGCATATTGGAAACAATTACAGTGGTATTTACAGGGGTTTGCACACTAGTCTGATGCTGTTTTTTCTTTTAAAAAAATTCTTTGGTTTCAGTCGGCGTGGGCCAGGAAAGAAGCAGTCGTGGACACGCCGACAATCACCCAGCATGTCAGCTGACAAGTTAGTTGTACAAATAAGACATCACTTGATCTTGAGGAATTTTTTGTCTATTTATTGACATTTATTTGTCTTTGAGGGAGAGAGTAACATATACTTTTTAAACACAGAAAAGACATGTATGGGCAGTGATCTTTCCTATTGGGAAAACTAGAAATGCTGTCTTAAAATCATGTTTCAGTTGGGAATTATCATTACCTATGATTAGCCCTGAAGAGTTACATGTAAACTGAAAAATTGTCATCAGTTACATGTTTATGTCCATTCAGTGATCCTTATTTTTATTTGGATAATGACTGTATAAATGCATGTATGAATGATCATGTACATGAAACAAAAATGTACATCATTCTGTGTATACATATTTGTGTAAAATCAGATATTATGCATAATCATAGAGCATACACAGTTAATTACACAGTGCATGTAAACTTAAGTTGACTGTACTGATTTGTAAACTTTTTTGAACAGTGCTCCCCAGGAACCAGGATCTTTAGATGGAGGTACATTTTTAACCATTCAAAGCTGTTAATTTATGGAACTGCATATTCTGAGTTTAGATTCTTTATCAAAGAAGTTGAATATATTTGTTCAATCAGTTTGGTTTTTGTTGTAAGTCATGATTTACATGATTGTTCAATGTTATCAGCATCTAGCCAGAGAACCCATCCAAAAGTCACAAACTTTGATTAAAATTTAAGGCTGAAGAATTACAGTCAAGTTGCTGACGGTTCAACTTGCCAACGCCAACTCGCCGATGTATAAAATCTAGTAGAGACGTTGGCAAGTTGGTCTTCAATCTAGTACAACTTATTAGGAGATAAACTTACAGAAAAGTAAAAGATATTTAGTAAAAAAACAGTTTTGTTTTCTTACAACAAAGTTTCTCATATGAGTCTCATATGAACATCACCCATGAATATAAAAGCTTCAGACACAAGATCTTGTATAGAAAGCCAAGTTTTCATAGAATAATCTGATCGACTGACATGGTGAGTCTTTACGGTATTGTCACACAATAACTCGTTCGCGTCTGAAGCTTTTATATTCATTGGTGATGTCTACCTTGCTTTATTTGCCATGAGATCCTTATAAACTTTGTTGGAAGAAAACAAAATTGTTTTTTCGCTAAATATCTTTTACTTTTCTATATGTCTGTCTTCTAATAAGTTGTACTGGATTGAAGACCAACTCGCTGACTTCTCTACTCGTAAGCATTTTAAAGGTCGGCGAGTTGGCGTTGACGAGTTGAACTATTGGCGACTTGACTGGATACCAAGCTGAACTATAGTCAAACATGCACAGGGAAGTGACGGCTGTACATGGTTTCATATAGTGCTTTGATTTACATGTTAAAGGTTGAAAAGGTCTTTTGATATAGACTAGATTTTAGTGTCTCTCTATGTGGTAATTGTTTTGAATTATAAGAGTACTATCAATAGAGAATGGTATGTAATTAAATGATGATCTAGAGAGATTTGGAGGGTTATTTTTGTAAATGCATAAATAAAGTTGCTGACATTTTTGCATAAAAGGAAGAACTCTCATCCTCAGTATTTTCCTTACAACTTCCTTTTTTTTCATTTTCACAAGAAAGTAAAAGCTAGTTTGGAAGCCAGCCAGTAACTTTTGGATTTAACATTGTCCTCACCGTTGTCTTCACCAATGAGGCCTGTTGCTTTTGAGTAACTTTATTTTTCCTTCTTTAGCTCACGGAACTGCTGAGGATTCTGCTCCTTCTGCTAGTGGTAATTATGAAATTTTGAGGGGGTTGGTTTGTTTTTGCTTTTTCTGTGCCTCTTTTAGGAAAATTTGATTTAATTTAAACTTTGTTCAAAAAATGTCATGAATTGAGAGATGTAGTTCAGATTAAGCAGCATCATAAAGGGTGTAGAGTAATGCTGTGCCATTTTAATATTTTATCTTTGTAAGCTTCCCATCGACCTCCAAAGCAAATAGTATTATTGAAATCAGCCAAGCAGAATAAAAGCTATAATTAAGAGAGGTGGTAATCTAAGGACATAAAATCCATAGACAAGTATCCACGGTTATTTACATTATGAGCACTTTAAGGCAAGGGCTAGGGAATTGTGCTGTATGATCAGTGACACTGACTGGTAACGTTGTTTGTGCCTATAGGTGAAGCCTCCAGAAGTGAATTGGAGGGTTCTGGCAGCCTTGAAGATATGGAGCTAAAAGATGGCGAGTTATCAAGATTACAAGGTCAGTTTATTTTTAGCTTTTTTCTCCCATAACAACAAAATAACCTATTCTTCTGACATGTTTACTCATACGAATGACAAAGATATCACATGCCAACTGTTACTGAATTATAAAATGTAAACTTAAAAGTTTAATTCTACTCATGCAGGAAAAACTCAAGGTATGACTCAAATTCTCTGTATATTTATGTACATGTTTGTTTACTTCTTATGATCTAGTAAATATTTTAACCAAAAAAAGAAACAGATGGGTGTAACAATATTTTGGTTCATTGAATTACAGCCCTCCTGGAGGCAAGGGGTGTTCCTTCTCATCTCATTGGTTCATTAGGACCACGGATGCATCAGCTGTTGCACCGAACTATCAGTTCTGGTTCAGGTAAATGAGCAAAACAAACTTGAATAGAATTCTTCTTTTTATGTTATTTCTAGTACCTCATGGGTTTCTCAAAGATGACGAATACAAATAATTTTTGAAACAAAATTTTCAGGTAAAACATGGGTGTTATTAAGTGATGTGTACAGTGTAGGATAACATGTGTTTTCAATGCACAGGTGGTAAAGTTCAACAGATGTTGGCAGGAATCCAATCATCTGATGAAGGACAGCAGCTTCAATCTGTGATTGAAATGTGCCAGGTATGTTACAGGAGTGCACTAGTCAAGTTAATTACTCTTCTGTTGTTTAAACTTATTTTAATGCATAGAAGGCCTGGATTTTGTTTCTCTTTCTTTACTTCCTGACAAAAATAAATTCAGCATCAGCCCAATATTACTATGCAGTTGAAAATAATCTTATAAAGTAGGATAAATTTTGTAAATTTTGATACAACATGTTCTCTGAGTTGTATTGATGTATCAGTACAACTGTAATATCTCATTTCTCATTCTACTTTATTTATCATTCAAATTCCCAGTCATCATGACACATTAAAAGTATTTCCCCAAAGATTGAAAGAAAAAGAAACACCCTTAATTTCATGTTTATGTACTACTACTTGTACTTGTAACCCTTGAAAGAGTCCTGAATTTAAATCAGCTTTTGAAAACACGATTTTATAAGGTTTGAATAAATGCTCTGCAGAATACAGTGTACACGTAGGTTAAGAAAGATACAAGTTGCCATTATAACTTGAGGTGGAGTTGATCTTACTATACAGCTTTTTTAATAATTTTGTTAGAATATAAAAATTGGTTGTTGATGTTTTGGTGCAAAAGACTTTGTTTGACTTGTGCAGAAAAAATACAATTGTTCTGAGCTGTGGTATACCTTGGAATCAAAGTGTAACAGTGCCAACATTCAATGTAAAGGACTCAATAGAGTTGATGTATCTTTTTGGTGTTTGTTTTTTTAGTTTTTAGTAATGGGTAATGAAGAGAGTTTAGTGGGATTTCCTGTGAAACAAGTTGTACCTGCACTTGTGAGTAGTTACTTTGTCTTACTATGTAGACACTGCTTATGCAGAGCATACAATGTAGCTAGTGTGGCTGATAAGATTTAGACTCAAGTCTACTTGCACACATTTCTGGTGGACAAGTGAAGGATACCAAGGCAAAGCAATGTTACCAAAATTAAAGCGAGGAGGAAATTGGTATAGACTTTCAGAAAGTGTTGGTCTTCTTCATTTATGAAACTAATTAAGTTTGGGTTTCTACTCTCCAATGTGCTAATTAATTAAAAATTAGTGGTAGTTTATTTTCTGACCAAGGCTGTTGTCCTTTGCAGGTACACTTACTTTCAATGGAGCATAACTTTGATATGGTGAGCAGAGCATTTAGTTAAATTTATCTGACAGTTCATTTCTTTGAACTGTACACACACTGTATGATCTCAACACCTCTGTTGATTCTTCTTTGTATTCACATTTTATGTCTTTTTTTTTACATTTTATCAAAGATGAATCATGGCTGTCGTGCCCTAACCTATCTCATGGAAGCTCTTCCCAGATCAACAGCTGTAGTAGTAGAAGCAGTACCTGTGTTTATAGAAAAAGTAAGTTGCAAGATAAGTGTGAACAATACTAATAATAATGATAATAACAATTCTTTCCATGTTAATCAAGACTTAAAAAGATGGAAAAAACATTACAGGCAAAATCTCTTAACCTATAAATATGCATAGCATGGGCTTCTATGCTTTGCAAAATGGTGCCATTCTTACTTTCTTTCTAAATACTGGTAAATGTGAAATAAAGAAAAGCTAATTTTTTAATTTGATATAATCTATTAGATCAATCAACTAATAACAACTTGAAATAAATCCATGACATTCTAAGGGGGATTTCTTTTAAACATTTTTCTTTTCTTTTCTTTTCTTTTCTTTTCTTCTCTAACTCTTTAAAATTGTTGTTCCTCTCTATCTCTTGGTGGGTTGGTATTTTGAATGAGAGAGATGCTCTTTTTTTTCTGTTTTGTTTTTTTTATTTTTGCTATTACCGTAAGCTGAATGATTGCAAAAAGAGCCATAACAACAAAACAATTGGAGTTGAGTTAACCTATCAGAACACTAGAAATACAGTATTCAGAGTTGAAAATTAATAATTGCTAGAATTCTGTTCCAAAGGGAAGTCAGGTATCAAATAGTGGCAGCATGGTGGAAAGGGCAAGATTTAAAATGAACAACTTTTGTATTCATCAGTTCTTTGAGACTTAAAGGGATTAATCTCCCTTATTATGGACTTACAGGAGGATCTTTTTGGTCATTATTACTATTATTATTATTATTTTTTTATAGTTACTATTATCATTATTATTTTCATTTTTATAACTTATTATTTTTTATTGCTATTATTATTATTATTATTATTATTACTATAATTATTATTATTATCATAAGCAAACACAAGTACAATCCAAATGCATATCGAGTATCTCTGATTAACAATGGTAATAGGATTGAATGGAATCCAATTCAGTCTGTAATCATACAAGTGGTTAACAAAATTGGACAACTGCAAAACGGAAGTCCAATTTGTTAACCACGAGTATGATTACAGACAGATTGAACAACAGAAAGTCCTGTAACTAATTCATCAAAACCCTGACAAGTTTGAGAAAGAAACTAGACAACAGTTAACGCAGTGAAATGGAAGTCAACAGCACACACACATGATGGGTTCTGTCCTTTAACACAGGCATGAAGTGCTAACTGTCCCTTTGACTGTCCTATTACACTGTCCAATTTCAAGCATGATGGATACACTGTCCTATAAGTGCTTTAATTGGGCTGGTGATAACCAATCATGTTCGAGAATTTTGTTATAGTTTTGATTAAAACTAGTCTTCTTGTAATAATAATTGTTTTTACCATGTGCTAGCTACAAGTGATACAGTGTATGGATGTTGCAGAGCAAGCTCTCACTGCCTTAGCAATGTTATCCAGAAGACATGGAAAAGCTATCTTGCAAGCTGTAAGTGTTCATGTTCAGTGTACCCAAGGTATCAGGTTGGGTTACATAAGCCATGGCCATATGGTTTTTTAATGATACAGTGTATCATACTAGGGTTTTAAGTGTGCTGTGTTAGCCAGGAGTTAATTACCTTCCATCTGTGATATGCTGAGGTTGGTTAGAATGTGGTACTCAAATGAGTGGCAGAAAATTGAGTTTAACTGCTCATGAAATGCAATTTGTGCAATGAAAGGGTCATTTGCCATGATGGGTGAACTACCCTGTTTAACTACACCAGATAATTATGGCAGAACATTTTTTGAATGAAACATGTAAGCTGTTTAGTTGTTCTAGATTTCATGTACTAATTGAATCAAAATGTGAAAAAAGACTTGTTCAGAGAGCGTGCATCTGAAGGGGGGTGAATCAAACTCAAGAAAATTTTAGTTCAACTTGATGAAGAATTGGAGCCATAACATTTATAACTTAAACAATAATTTGTAAGCAATATACATGTAGATGTTGACCGATGCACTATGAGTCAGGTAATGAACTTTTTTTTTACTTGGAATCCATCAAACTTGCAAACTAAAAGATTGAAATTAATCAAAGCAAATCAGATGTTTGAATGTTTGTAAAGAATAACACATTGCACAGGCTTTAATTACATGTAAATCATGTATAAGAAAGGTTTTTGTTCTTGTGATTTTAAGGGCATTATACGATGCAGTTTCTGAGGTAGCTGTTTAACAACTAACTTTGTTTGTGTTTTCTTGACCAAGGGAGGAATGTCAGCTTGTCTTCTGTACTTGGATTTCTTTTCAATATCTGCTCAGGTACAGAATGGTCCAAGGGCCCCAAAATATATTTTCCACACTCTGCAATTTAGACCATCTATAAATATTATTTGAATCAATATTTGAGTTTTCCTTTGTTATCAGGTGTAGTGAGAAACTTGAATTTTCTATCCAGTGGTGCCTTGTTTTCAAATTAATACTTATGACTACAAGAATACGTAACAAAATTCTTAACAGACCTTTGTTTACTTTATCATTGTAACTTGTACATAGTGGTCTACATGACAACCCTGTATTTCCACATAGCTTATCAGAGAAGTATTGATTGTGGTTAGAATAAGAAGTCAAGGTATCAAAAATAATTTAGGGAAAGAAAATATGACTAAGATAGTTTTTTTAACTACTTAAGAATTATTTATGTAGGCTTTGTCTTAACCCTTTTGCCCGTAAGAGTGACTAGCATCTAATTTCTCCTTACAATATCTCCCTTGAATCAAACAGTAGGGTCATGAGAACAATGGAAGTGATCAACAATTACAGAAGCTCTGGAATGTTAAGCTTATTCTCCTTGCCAGCACCTTAGGAAATGTATAGAGAACAGTATGGAGAATATGCATACTGATGTTAGGTTGTAAAGGGTTAATGAATGACATTACATCTATTTTCAGAGGTCAGCATTATCTGTTGCAGCCAATTGTTGTCACAGCATTGGTGTGGGTGACTTTCATCTTGTTGCAGATTCCATTCCAGTTTTAAGTGGAAGGTTACAGCACCAGGTTAGGGTCTTAACTGTAGAACTTAAAAAGGTGTGAATGCCAGATGCATGTTCACTTCTGGGATGTGATCAGAAACATGAAGATCAGATGTGAGAAAACTTGACTACTTGTACATGTATTGGTTTTCATTCATTATCTGATTTCGTATATGATTGGTCATAGCATAGAGGTTATTCTGATGTTTGTGGTTTTCTGAGGTTGATAACCTTACCATTTGCAGCTCATCTTCAATATGTTAAGTTTGCTAGAACAACTTTCTCTTTAGGCTTTTGATCCTTGGCCTTTTTTGTGGAATTCCAGTGCTCAAGTAATTGAACTACCTAGGCAGCAGTCCCTACACCTCCCTTTTTTAATTAAATGATAATTGGATTTGGGCAATATTAAAACTTGTATTTATTGCTGGTCTTTTTTTTTTTATGAATGAGGGAATGTTGCTAGTTGTTGGTAAATTTATTATTGTTATGATGTCTGACTGGTTTAGTTTGTTTTGTCTTTGAGTAGAGGCACATCACTTTCTTTCTAATTGTACTTTTTCAGGATAAAAAGTCTGTAGAGAGTTGTTGTGTGGCATTCGCTAGACTGGTGGATAGCTTTCAGTCTAATGAGGTCAGAATCACTGAACATTTTCTACTTGAGACATGTTTTCCTTTTTCTACTAGTTACTACAGTAACTGCTACTTCTCTACTGTTATGTTATAAGAATGCAACATACAGCAAAGATTTTTTCCTTGTTCCTTGCCTTAGATAAAAAATAATCACATGTAAAAAAGAAAAGGGGTTTTATGCAATATTTTTATGCTGAGTACAAAATTTTTTTTCAGAAACATCTGGAAGAACTGGCTGCCCATGGTCTGCTTAATAACTTGCAGCAGTTGGTGAGAGTTTCCTTTAATTTAAATTTTTGGATATTTATGTTCTCAGAAGAGAGTTTATGTCCAGTGAACTCTGTTTGGCCTCTCAAATGTTGAAAGGCCATGATCATGGTTTGGTGACAGGCATATTAAATTTTTTTTTTACTGCTTAAGAAACAGCCATGTGTTTAATACATTGTCACCATAAATATGTTACCTTTTAATTTGACAGAAAGGTTAAATACTGTGCATACTTTTAAGAATTAAAATGTAAGATTTGCATAACTTTTAGTTGGAACTAAGAGGCAATAAGCATCCACCCATAAAGAGGATTCCTTATTGATTAAAACTGCTCAACCAAGATACATCATACCCTCTGCTAGATTTGGGAAATTTTGTGGAAGATATTCCTATTAATTTCTCAATTTTTGATAAAATTGGGATAAATATCAGTATCTGGGCAACTGCCCACCTACCCCTCCCCTAACCCAACAACAGTCAAATGATAACAAGTTAGGGTTAATGTTGGGTTAGGGGAGGGGTAGATGGGCAGTTGCCCAGTTACTGATATTGATCCTAAAATTGCTCTAGGTGGTCTGTTGTAACTTATGAGAATGGCCCAGCTCAAGGAGATATTTGTCTAATTTCTTTATTTTTACTGCTTTATAGCTCATGATGGCCCCTCCAGTAATAAGTACAAGCACCTTTGTAATGGTGGTGCGAATGTTGGCCATGTTGTGTTCCAACAGTCCAGTAATAGCTGTGCAGCTTCTGAAACAAAGTATGTGACTGAGTGACTTAAAAATATAACGTGATAAATGATCATTACTAACAGTAACACTTTGAATGAACTGAGTAGAGTAAGCAGAAATATAGGTAACATTCATGGTAAAATATAACAAAATAGTGTGAGCTGTGATGTTATTTTTATAATATGCAGTATGGAAAAGAATTCCACAAGAATTCAATCAATAGGCATTGTTAGCATTGATGTAAGTTAGTCACCAACACAACTTAACAAAAACTGGATCAACAGAATAGAAATTGACTCTGTTACAATTTTTGTTTGATTAATCAACAACCCCAGTGGAACCTGGGAAAGACCCAGTTGAACCTTCAGCTTTGAAAATGGCTGCTGTTTGACAGTGTGCACAAAGTTACTTCATTAATTTTCAAAGGCGTTTTGAAAGAGGCAACCACAACATCAGTTGTAGACTGTAAAAAATGCCAAGACTTTAGGGCAAACAAGGAATAAAAACTGCAGCAAATTAAGAAATGTTGCATTTCAAAGATCGGAAGGAATAACAATTACCAAAAATTGTGCAAGTGATCTTTCATTAATATAAAATGCAAAGAAAATGTGCCAGGTTAACTCTACTGTACTGAACTTGCAAATTTAAGAGCTCATAATGCTAGGAAAATAAATATTGTTACTATGGTGACTTAAAATACCTAGCCCCTTTATTGTACCTTAAAATTTGTTCATTCCCTAATGGAAGATTGAGAAGAAGTAAATGTTGTTTACTTACTTTATTTGCTTTTTTCAGATGTGTCAGATACAATTTTGTATTTATTACTGGGCACCACAGAACCAGGGGAGGTAGAGAATGCTGAGGTTTGTTTTAGTTTTTTTTTTTAACCTTTCCTGATTCTACAAAGTTTCCTTTGTACTGAAATTTACATTGCTAGTTCAATCAGTACAAATAGAAGTGCATCTGTAGTGTACTTATACCTTAACATTCATGTGGAAAGCAAAGCAAAGATCTTGGATGCCTCGATCGGGGTTACTTCACTATGTTGCTTTAATTTCTAACTCATTAATTCTTTTTGTAGTTGCTGTCAAGAAGCCCTCAAGAGTTTTTTGAAATAACTTCTTTTATCAGGTTTGTTGTTTACATTGTTGATTTTCATTGTTTTCTCTGTTAATTACACCTGAAATTCATAGTTAGCAATACACTTTATTAGATCTAAACATCAGTGTCTGACTTGAAATTTTTGTGCAGTCTGCATGTGGTTCTGAATACATATATATCAGCTTTGAACTTCAAGCTGGTTTTCTTTTCCCTTGCCAGCTCAAGATTGTAATTTTCTACCATATTTGCTGTTACAAGAATTATAAGAACCCAATTTGTTATATTGTCTAACTTTGAGTCATGTTATACATGAAATAGCTGGATTATTAGAAAATTGAAACTTATTCTGCCTTTCTCAACAGTGAACTTCTACCAAATTTGCCATCAGATGGTAAGTTCTTGTAGCAAGGAGATGTATGTGCAGAAGGGTAAACATGATGAGATACTTGTGGCTGTGTCACTGAGAAACGTTTGTCTGGCAAGATGTACATTTCTTCTTTGGGCAGCTTATTACATTAGGTGGTTGATTTCCTTATTTGTGGGTGTTGGTGATGCAGGCTTGCTGTAGGTTTGTCTTAGTGTGAAGCTGTGTTTGCAGGGATCTTCTTGGTTGATGCTCTACTGTGCAAACCACAGCAGAAGGCTGAACAAGGACTGTGGCAGTGGAGAGATGATAGGGGACTGTGGCACACATACTCATGGATTGACAGCAAGATTATTGAGGCTGCATACCAAAGTGGAGAGGATGAACTTACTCTCACCACACTTGGAAGAACATACACTGTTGACTTTAACAGCATGCAGCAGGTTTCTCAGAATTGTGTATTTTTTTTAATGAAAATCTTTATTTCCAACATAAATTACTTACAGTGCATATGCTCTATTACAACACGTTGCCAACGATACATCACTGACAATACATTACTTACAATGAGCTGCTAACAATTATGATCTATAATACTTCTCTACTGTAGTATATGAATTATGTAACTAACATTCAACCACAAAAGATGGCTCAAAAGAGACATGTTAAGTATAACTTAGTCAAGGTAGTGATTCTAGCATTTTTCTAGAATCACTTCACAGAATTTGAATTTAAGTGGACTGTTGTGATTTTCACCTTGCAGACAAATGAAGACACAGGTACATCAAGACAGATACAGCGATGTCCAGGAGGGAGTGAGACATCTACAGCCCAATCCAAGACAGAGGAAACAAAAATCACCAAGAGTGATGAACGTTTAGTTGTTTTATGTGAAGATGCCAAGCTGGCTTCATCGTACACTTGTGTTATGTTTTCTGCTTTATACAAGATATTCAGCTCTTCTGTTGGACCTGCAGTGAGACACAAATGTGTGAATGCTATATTGAGGGTGTTGTGTCATGCCCCTCCTGATCTGCTGGGTGTGGTTCTTAAAAGACACCCCATCTCCAGCTTAATAGGGGGAATGCTTCAATCAAATGACTTGAGAGTCATAACTAATGCTCTTCAAATGGCTGAAATTGTCATGCAAAAACTGCCAGATGTTTTTCATGTATCATTCAGAAGGGAAGGAGTGATGCACAGAGTTAGAGACTTGGCCAATGGGCTTTTGGCTACTAAATCAAAGTTATCAGATAAGAACTGCTCATCAGAGTGTCTGGTAGATACTTGTGAAATTGAGAGCCCTGGACAGAGAGCTACAGAAAATTCACAGTCACTACCAGTTACCAGGTCAGGTATCTCTATAAATAGTTGCATTAGTACCAGTATGCATTGAAAATGTTACTAAAAGCATAATTTTAGAACTTATTTATTATGGCTGTTCCCTCTGTCTAAGGATGTATTTCTTTTCGCCTAGGCCATACCTTTAATCTTGTGTGCAATTTTTCTCAATGCAGATTTTCCATTAAGTTACAATATATATATTTCTTGATGGTACAATGTATGTATCAATCACATTGCAGGAGGCTGGGAGATGTGTTGCGAAGGAAACGTTATTCAAAAAGGCCTGGCAGGGGAAAGGCCAGTAGTTTTCCCAGCACATCAGAAGCACATGTTGAGATAAACAGAGACCAAATTGGTTTTCCTTCTTCAAGGACAATGCTTCACGACAGCAGGGCTGCTTTCCTGGCCTCTCAAGTATCGACCAGACTGAATTCCAAATCTGCAGTTCTTTCGGAGCGACCAGCAAAGGTGGAACCTGTTTTGTTGGATTGCAGTGTTGTTTATAAGTTTTCTGGGAAATCTTTTAAAATATTATGATTGATATTTACTTCGCTGCCAAAAGTGTATTACTAATCAGAAATACTGCATTTATTTTTGCAAAGCTGGAGACATCTGTTGCAAGCAGTCTTTCAGAAAACAGAGAGAAGATTTTGGCTTGGATTAAAGATCAAGGTACATATTGTCAATTGTTAACTGATATTTAACTATAGCAATATTCTATTAATATTTTCACGGCTATTTAACTAATGGAAAACTTATAATTTTTGCCAACAGCAACCAAGTTCTGTGAAGAGTACTTTGATCAACAGAAGGGAGACTCTCATCCTGCACTTAGTGTACTTCGACAGTTAAAGAGTGCGTCAGAGGAACTGGCTTTAGATGTAAGCTTTGAAAACTGAAACCATGTTAATGATGCTACGTGTTTTTAGGAAAATAATGAAATGATATGTTGCTATTAAGATGATTTTTAAAGGGGAACAACCATGGTCTTGATGACAGATTGTGTTAATCTGTCTTGACCTGGGACATAGTTAGCTTACATACGAGGCTTACAGCAAACATATTAGTTAAAGTTACACTCGCGTCAGCAAGTGGACATGGAGGGTCTTGTTTACACTTTTTCCTCCAAATAGCTTTTATACGAATAAATCAAGAGTATGCTATGCAGGCAAAGACGTAGTTATTGCTATAGCTTTGATATTGATAGTGATAAAGTTGTTCAGCAACTGTATTAATATGACTTCCTTGTGTTCTAAGTATGCTATTTGGTGTTGTTTTTACAGAGAGAAACATTTCTTCCAGCACTGGAGGTGAGGCTTCTGAGTTAAAAGTGTTAATTTATTACGTTGGTTAACATGCTCTCCGTTGAATTATAATTTAATGTGGGGATTTGTTTGTCTAACCAGGAAGTCTCTGCTGTGCTGACTAATGAAGACAACAGTGCATGTGCATTTGAGATCCTCCACAGTGGATTGGTACCAAATCTTCTCAGGTATGTTTCGTAATTTTCGTATTACATTGAAGTTCTCATCTGAACTTTTGGGACCGGTAATTTACACGAGTTCTAACACAAACCGCGAATTTACCAAGCAATAGGTCCGTACGAGTACTCTTTAAGAGGGTTGTTTTCATCAAATAAATGTCTTTACATAGCTAATTTTTGCACTCTTGTCACTATTCGCAAATATAAATGTTCACATAATAGATTCAGCTAAATTCAAGATAGTCTAGAACGCGGTTTTGAAAGAACAGCTAAATGTTGTTTAAATAACCGGCCCTAAGACTTGTTTTGGAAATGATTTTTTCTCTGGTGGTACATGTTGTTGTTAGCTCATGTTATGCCATAAGTGCAGAGAATGTTGCATTCAGCATATTCACAGTCAATTGAATGAAATCCAGTTTTCGATAATTTCAGTCAACTTGTGCTTTTTCCCTTTTTCCAGATATATAACATCTACAGAAGTTAGTGATGCCCTTCCTCAAGAAAAGCGGCTCAGAATATTTTTCCATGTTTTTATGGGACTTCCAGTAAGTGTTTTCAATTTCACAATTCGTAAATAATATTCTGCAGCATTCTTGAAAAATGTTTTATACAATAAATAACCAATGGAAAAAAATTGTAAACACTACAGGCTTATGAATCATTTTTTCTTCTGTGCAGGAGAAAAGCTCACCTGGAGATTTGAAAATCACGGTAAATTTGTTTTTGGTTCCCAGACATAAATGAATGTGTGTTATTTATATTATCACTGTGATTAGTATAATTTTTTTAATTAGTAAGTAATGAGAAAGAAGAAGTTGGATGAAATTACCTCGCAAACAATTAAATTTCCATCAGAAGTGGTTTATTAGTTTCTTGGAGCATGTAATGGCTGAAACGAGCACAATACATCACACATTGTAAAGATGAACCCTCACGTTAAGCAATTTGAAACAATGATAATGCCAAAATGTGTGTTAAAGTTGTCAACACATTCTGTATTTTTTTTTGGGCAGACTGAACCCAATGTAGCGCCTATGGCTGCCCTGATACAGAAACTTCACTTGTGCATCAACCAGTTGGAACAGGTCAGTCGATGTTGGATTAAAAAAAAACATATGTACTAACTGGACTATGAATAAAATCTTATTCGTAGTTTTTTTATGCCTTGCAAATTTTATTACATGCACATAATTGTCGACCCTCTACCATTGTTTCTTTCTATGATAACGTCATGAATTGGGGAAAATTTACTCGACTAATACACCAAAACATTATCAGGAAGTACATGTAAATGTAGTATATTTGTGTTTTTCAATGGGTCAGTGTATACACGTCACTCTGGACAGCGTCTCTTCATAGCAGATTAAATTACTAACAATAAGTCCCTTTTTTTCACTAGCTCCCGGTCAAAGTTCATGATACACCAGGAGGAGCAGTTGGAGCAAGGTATATGTCACTAAAAATTCTTCAAAGATTGCTATAATTTGTAAAAATTTAAAAACTCTTTAATGTCACTCACAGACCTTGCATGTTTGTTTGCCAGGGGGTCTCAAGCTTTAAGATTTTTCAGCTCTCACCAAATCAAGGTTTGTTTTATTTTTTACAGTACATACTCCTCATAAACTACTTTTGGGGTGTTCAACAATTTGAAAGTCCTAAATTTGTTCGGCACTTTCGGTGTTTTTGCTTGAAGTTATATCAAACGTAATACACAAGTTAATTAAAACTCCTATTTGGTTTGCTGAAATTTATCAAAGATTGACTTAAACTGTTCATACGGTCTACATACAGTGCCTTCTACAAAGACACCCAGACTGTGAAGGGTTACGACAGTGGAAACGTGGACCTGTAAAGATTGATCCACTTGCTCTTGTTCAGGTATGAATTATTCTTCAGTGCCAATTAAACCTGTTGTGCTTTATCTACTGTTTTGTAAATTAGTCGTCCACAACAATGCAGTTTCGTTTGAAAACGGATATTTTTGCCAAGGTTTTTTGGCCTTCCGTCTACACTAAGACGCTTGAGAACGGATGCATTTTTAAATGAAAGCGATTCGATTTGAAAACGCTCTCAAAAGTGGAGACAGTTGAAAACGCAGGCATATCATTTTAGTGTGGATGGTCGAAAATACAGCCTTTTGAAAACGATGACGTTGGTTAGCGTCATAACGTCGTGCAACCTCTTTTCCAAGTCTCCCATCTGAAGTTCAAAACAAATATGGCGAACGAGCATGTGGGTATGTTTTTGACATTGTTGACTCATTTAATCGCTTGTCTGGAGCCTTATGTTACGTCATTCAACATTTTTGGCTTTTCTTGGACGTGCTAGCCATGTTTCACATTTTACAACGTGCGTTTAGCTGTGTTTGTTTGTTTGTTCCTTCGCTCTGGCAAAGGGCTAACGCTCGAAACGTTTGCTCTAAAACTCTTTACAGTGGCCTATAGAATCAGAATTATCTTGTGTTTGTTCACAGTTTAGCGTAGGCGCGAAATGGCACAAACACCGCGGGCTCCGTTCGTTCACGCATACGCAAATTGACGAGTTCGTCTCATCAAGTCGAGTTTTTTAGTGTGTCCTAGTGTGGACATTGAAAAGCGATATGGAAACGCAAGTGCAGAGAAAACGATGCGTTTTAAATAAGACGGAAAACGTTTCGAAAACGTGTGTGGTAGTGTGGGCGGGGTCTCTTCCTTTATCGCTCTTCTCTTTTTTTTAGGCCATTGAGAGATATCTTGTTGTTCGGGGATACGGAAAGAAACGAGAGGTTTGTTCAGCTGTCTCTTTTTATCCTTAAGTTTTTTTATTGCTAAAATGAAATCAGTAAGTTTGTTTGCCCAAAATTACAGAATGCTGACAGTACACGCTGAGAACAAGCAAACAAATAAAGAATAACGGAAGAATTCACTTTTATTTAGCTGTGTCAAAAGTTACATTAAAAGTAATCGTTAGAAACTTACTAATGCTGTCAAACATCCTCTGAATAAGCCGGCGACACACCTGGCGATTTTGTACGCCGATCGCGGCGAAAATCGTAAGCGATTTTCGCCACAGATCGCTGCGGACACACTTAACATTATGTGGCACATCAGCCTTGATCCCAGGTTCCATCCGGTGACGTATAAAAATTGCGCGAACCAATGTAAACATACAAAATGGCAACAGCGAAGCGGAAAAAATTTTTGGCCGCTGCCATAATTTTGCAGCTAAAGCGCTCTAGGCAGCGTTCTGGAAAGTGGGGCAATAGAAAAATATGGTCGAAGACATGGATTTACTGAAACGCAGTCCTTCTTGACACGATTACTGTAGTCACTTGACGTAACATCAAATAGGCGTGGTTTTTCTGACCACCATGTGATGAAATTGATTTCTTTTCGGTTCGGAAACAATTTTCGATGTCCTCCGCCATTTTGAAAAGTTACGTGATAATATCATCAAACTTGATTGGTTAATTTTACTGGCGACGCGTAGTGGAAAGGGGAGAAAATCGCGGGAACGGGCAGACTTGGCGAATGCCGGCAAATTTAATCACCGATATCTGACATGTCATATATCGGCGATTTTATACGACGATCGGCGAAAATCACAATCGCTGCACCGGGCACAGCTGGCGATTTTCGCCGATCTCCGCGATCGGCGTATAAAATCGCTAGGCGTGTCACCGGTTTTAAACTTCAAAGGTTTGCTTCAAATTGCTGTGTCTAAATGCATATTTTGGATCTCTTGCAGAATCCAGATGACGATGGCAGTGAGGATGACGGGTAAACACAGATAGAGGCTATGTGGACCATTAATTATTTTAATTCGAGAACTTTTGAGAGGCTTAATTCATTATTCTACGGCTTTACTGAAACTCACCCATACACTTATGTCTAAGATTGATCTATATTTGGTGGTTCTGTTCCATAAAATCATATTGACAAATGCGGTTTCTTCTTGGGCTTATTTGATTTGATGATTTTAGCTTCACCCTGCCCTGGCTCAATCCACCATCTCATGACTAATGTGCAGTTGTCAAATGCTTCATTTCAAGAAATTAAAAAATCTTGGCGTGTGCACAGATGAAGGTGACATTGTCTGTGGTACTTGAGGCTAGTAGTGCAGCAGCAACAGCATTAGAAGATGTCAGATATTTCTCTTTGAATGACACTTAATTTTCACCATCCGTGCAAAAACGCGTTATCATTAATGGTTAATATTGTTTGTTTCATTTCTCAGATCTGATGATGACATTGACGAGTCTTTGGTATGTAGGGCAAATGTTTCCCACAGTTCTTTTGTTAATGTTGCATTATGCGTTGAAGTCTTATGGTTTATGCTTTGTCGTTAACAGGCAACTGAACTGCAAGGTCAAAACAACTCAAGGTATCACACATAATATTACTCCATGAAACTTATTGTAGTCGTAGAAACTGTTGGTTCTAACTTCCGGTCATCGTTGGAGTAACCTATACATTTTATTTGTGTTGATGCAGGCATCAACTGGAGATTTTATTGGGAGACCATCTTCTTCCTTACAACATGACAGTTTATCAGGCTATCAAGCAGTATGCTCAGGTACATTGATTCATTACCTGGTTTGCATTGATTTGTTAAAATGCATGTCAAATTAGATCGTTTTTTGTGCACAAGTTGGTAACTTTCTTGGTGTTAAGACCTGCATGGCTTATGCGTTCACTGTTTGTTATTATGAAAAGGTGTTGAGTGAAAATATTATCATGGTTATTTCTGAACAGAACGGGGGAATACAGGAAAATAGTCATAAAGCTCATTGTCTTAAAATGCTTCTTTATCTAAATCGTTCGTAAAAATCATGCTATTTCATGTTTTAGTGTGATGAGGACAAAGACTTTGATGATGATCACGGTGGCATCCTTGGCAGACCCAGTATCTGGGTCTCTACCCATACAATATGGTGCGTTCGGTTTTTCGTGTCTGCGGACATCCCTTAAACATTTAGAAAACTTGACATCGTTTGATCTACGTTAGCACTCAAATGATCTGGATTCTTGTAGAGAAGTAATACGTCGTTGGTTTTACTCATTATCTTGGAATTTAAGAGTTGTTTTAGTAATTATTTTTTTTCAGGTTTCGACCTCTCAGCCAAAACCAAAAGGAGCAGCAAACTGTCAATAGTAGTAAATCTAAGTCTGGGGCCAGCGGAACAGCTTCACGAACCTCCAGGAAAACATGGAAAGAAGATGGTAAACATTTGATTACGCTGAATCCATGAAAACGGACTTGTTTCCCACATGCTCATAAGTTAACTCAAGTATTTTTATATTTTTAAAGAGTCTGAAAATGAAATGTCTCTTGGTCAGCTCCTCTTGGTTTGTGAACCTGGAAGCTTTGGTAAGTTAAATAAACTGTAAGATAGTCAAACGTTGCAGGCTGTTTTTGTTTAACTAATGAATTTTGTTTTTTATTTGTAAGGCCTAAGTCTGTATTAGGTATTTAAAAGGTTTATCAGCGTCTAAACTTACCTGTGAGTTGGTACAACTCGCTATTGTTTTCTAGTCTTTGTCAGAACGTGATCTGAACACCCTTAAGGTAAACAACCTTTAAATAATCGGTTTCACCTTTTAAACATTGGTCAGACGTGGACTTTCGCATATACTGTGTAAACTTTGTTTGATTAATCGGCCCTCGATGTTCCAAAAGGTATCTCGGAGTTATGTTTGTAGCGGTGTTATTTCGAATGTAACAAAAATCTCATTTGAGGCACTTGTAATTGAATTTCACTCATAAAATACCCAAACACCACAAGATCCAGATTACTAACTTTGAACAAACAGGTATTTCCGTGGGTTTATTCTGTATCTACAGCTGTCGTTGTGCACAAAGAAGTACAGTGGCCTTTGATGAAATTTGCTCAACATTCAGTTTTTCCTGATTTAGGAGTTTTTTGTACTGTAGTTATTGTTGCACGTCGCAAGAGAGAGAATCGCGTTTAAATCATGTAAAGGACTGATTCTATGGTATCTGTTATGGAAGTTTCGGCGAAAGTCTCAACGGAAATATCTCCTTCATCAACAGACCAAGTTTCGTTTTCATACTTGCGCTGTGGTTGCCTTGAAAATCTCCTGTATGTATTTAGATTTAAAAAGCTAATGTTGCCTTCAATTCTTGGTCAGTAACTTCAGATCCTAGTGTGGAAGTGATAAGTCTTATGAAAGCTCTTCATGTTCTTAATTATCACTGGACAACGCTTTATGAGGTGAGTGTCAGTTTTTGGTGTTGCCTACCAATCAACTAAAACAGCCTACTTTTCACTTCGAAATATCGGATTAAAATGTTATAGAATGTCTTGCGAATAGTGCGGTTGAAAATGTGGTACAACTATGTGTCGTTAGACAAACGTGCAACTAATTTTACTTTATTATATCTGTTTTTAGGGGCAAACCCGTAAAGCGTTCTTGTCTTCAAGTGAATTTATAAACAATAAACTTGCAGCAAAAATTACGCGGCAGTTACAAGGTAATTTGTTAGTTTTATCATACACGCGTCAAGGAACAAGCCTCTTACGTGCTATAGTATCATTGTTGACGTATAAATAGTAACGTTGTTTCCTCTCAATCAGATCCTATCACAGTAATAACTGGGAATTTTCCTGCTTGGGTAGAAGAACTTCCTCGAAAATGGTAAGCGAAAAGGTGTTTTGGAGATTTTCGGCAGCCAATCTTATCTATAATGGCGATGAGCTATTCCAGCCTCTCGAGCAGTGGAGACAAGTAAAAGAGCGGACAAGTAGAGAAAATGCGAGAGCGCTGTTTCATCTGACAACCGCTAAGCATCGTTCGCTTCCCTCTTTCCTACCCCCCCCCCCCCACACTTTTTCCATTGTCTTTGCTGATCGTGGGCCTGGAAGTAACGTAGAATTGTGTGGGAGTGATTGTCTTGTTTGCTTTACAAGCACCTCACTAGTGATTTAATTTTATCCTTTTACTCTGCAGCCCATTTCTGTTTCCTTTTGAGTGTCGGCAGCAGTTATTTTATTGCACTGCAATGGATAGAGACAGGGCTCTTAGCAAACTTCAGGTACTAGAGAATTTTTCCGCCTTGTGAGATGTATTCAATGTGTTACAGATCCGCTGATGATGTTACTTGATTATGTATTCTTTCACAGGAAACATTACCGGAGCTCATGAATACTGACGCATCAGATCGTGTTGCACCGAGATTTGATAGGAAAAAGGTGTGTTTTTAAACTGACTGGAATGGACAACATTTAATGCTGAAGGCTAGTAAGCTAGTAATGCTGCCTTGTTCCTGATAGAGCTTTGTTTAATAGAGAAGTGCCAGTCCCTCAGATGAATTTCCTATCAGAAAAGAAAATCTCAGAAAAAAGCAGAAAAAAAATCTCCAAAAACAACAATGTCGAACAAATCAATAACCTTACCTTATCAGAAATCCAACCAAGCTGAGTGCGGCAGGTGCCCGGGTAGAGAGAAACTCGCGCGTGTGTTCATCTCAACCCTGCATCAGAAAAAACTTGACTTTACTCTTACGAATGAGCTTGTTTCGAATGTCTTTAGTGAGTCAAGGAAAGTTTCAAGGTGTAAATTGTAGTTTATAGTACATTTCCATTTGCTTTGCAGCACACTGTATCTCGAGTGGGTCTTCTGGACCAAGCAGAGAAGTTGATAGGTGATCTTGGTAGCTCACAGTCTGTACTAGAAATACAATACGAAGGCGAGGTAAGTACAACTGCGGCCAGACTCCAGCTGTTACATTCTGGCTTTAAATCTCATATGAAGTCGCAAATGTTGTAATAAGGCTTACTTAGTAGGAAGTGTTTGGTTTAAAACCTAATAAGAATTGTTTTTGTCATGTAGGTTGGGACTGGCCTTGGCCCCACTTTGGAATTTTATGCTCTTATTTCTCAAGAATTCCAACGTGCAGACCTGGAGATGTGGAGAGGAGAAAGTATGCGGCCTTCAGGAGGAACTGGTATGATTAGTGGTAATTCACTGATCGTTTCTTGTCATACACAACTAGTTAGTTAGTTTGGTCTTCGAGGAGCTTTTTTTTTAAAGCATGACTCGAGGGAACATCGCTAATGTATGTCCAGTGATAAGTTACTCTTAGTTTCCTTTCTCACCTGTTAAATCGCGATGTTGTTGCAGGACCTGTTGAAGACGTGTCATATGTTTACTCCCCAACTGGCCTGTATCCAGGTAAGCTTAAACTTTCGTGAGTTAAAATTGATTGGCGAGATGAGAGAAGAATGCATTGTGTACATTTGATTACTGCATTGAAGTCTTGCCTCTAACTAGGAATCAAGGTTTGGATTTTTTCCAATGTTCAGCCGAATGAAAAAGAGCACCACTTCTCTGAAGTATTTATCGCATCGTTTCATTCTTAGCCCCAGTTTCACGCACTGCTAAAGCCGCGAATGTGTCAAAGCTCTGCTCCAAGTACCAGTTCCTGGGTAAATTCTTGGCTCGTGCTATCATGGACTTTAGAATCCTCGACATTCCCTTCTGCCCCATACTATACAAATGGCTTCTCAATCAAGAAGGCACGCTAGACCTGGGTGATCTGGCTGCTGTAGACTCAGTCTTGGCTCAGTCGCTGACCCAGCTGCAACAGGTGGCACAGAGAAAAAAACAGCTAGAGCAAGACTCCTCTCATACTTCAGACAGTAGGCAGCTAGCTGTTGACAGTCTTACCTTGGATGATGTACCCATCGAGGATTTGGGTCTGTCCTTTACTCTGCCAGGCCATCCTGATTTTGAACTTAAGGTATAATTACACATTAATTCATATGACAACTTAGGTCTAAGGTGTGATGTAACAACGAACTTCAGTTAATACATGATCTTTATTCCCTCGTGGCCTTAAGTGCCCAAGGGACGGAAGAGTACTGTCATTTGAGCAAGTGAATGGGGGTTAAACTTAGTGAAACTTAAACAAAAATGTACCACCAAGACAGGAGAGTTAAAGTTTGGTAATTTTGATTGGTTTGAAAACCTGTCAAAATTACTCAACTCGAAACCTCGTCAGTTCAAGTGTATAGACGAGCTCAAAACTTGTCGTTCGAAGGCGTGAATCCGACCTCCTTGTTTTGATTGTCGTTTTTTTTATTTGTTTCAGCGCGGTGGAAAAGACATGACAGTCACAATTCATGAACTGGAGGAATACATCAGGGTATCATTTTGTGTATAACACGAGCAATTGATATAGGTTATCTTCTTTTGGTCGCATGAATTAAATTCTTGATTTGTCACAGTCAGGAAAAATAATATAAAAGTTAGAAAAAATGTGTCGATCTTTTTGTTTTGTTTATAAGAAGGTTTAGTTTCTGAATTAACTGTTAATTCAATTGTATGAAAACGAGCGCACATTCCTGCAGTTTGTCGTGTAATTTATCGCTTATTTTGTTCTTTGTGCTTTGTTTTTCAGCTGGTAGTACAGTGGACTCTTGTGTCAGGTGTGAAACGCCAGATAGATGCACTCCGTGAAGGCTTTAACTCTGTGCTGCCTCTATCAAATCTTGCCAGTTTTTCATACACTGAGGTAGTAAATCTAAAAAAATTTCCTTGCAGCTTATTATTTCCTCGAGATCTGTGAGGTACCTAAGTAGCTGTTGCTCTCACATTAAATTTTACTGAAATCGAAATATTCAAGTGTGAGAGAAATTGGTTGGCACTTTTGTCCCCTACGGTGGCGTTTGCCCTTCCTTAGGAACTTAAAGAAGACAAGAAAGAATTGGTTTTATTATTAACTGATTTAGAAGGGGAGTAACTCTCTTCAATCGTTTGGGCTGTTGAATTATGATTATTGACTGACTTAGATCAGGTAATTTATGTGAGTGATTTTGTTCACAGATGGAGCTGGTTCTTTGTGGTAATGTGGCCGAGAAGTGGGACTTGAAATGTACGTACTTATATGTTAGTTTAATGGTATACCTGTGGTGTATTACTAGAGATAGACTGTGTTGAAATCTTTTCTGGAAGCTCATAGGACGCCTTTGTGTTAGTGAGATAGGCTTTGTTTCTGTGGAATGCACCATTTTCTTTCTGCAGTTTTAATTTTAACTTTTTTTCTACGTTTTTCATAGTTTGCTAAAGCTGGTAGCTGTTCGCAGTAAAGATAACGATATTATTTTATTTTAAGTTAAATTCAACCTTATACCTGCGCTCGTTTATTTTTTCTTTTATTTTTGAATATCAGGTCTTGTGGAAAGTTGCAGACCTGACCATGGCTATACTCATGACAGGTCAGTGGCTTAAACATGTTTTAGTTATCAAGGTAAAAAAAGTTTAACCGAGGCTTCCTGTAGCTCTGGAGAAACGCGTTTGCTAAATGAAGTTTCTTTGGATCCTTTTGTGTATGTTGTCTAGTTCCGGTAAATGAGATTGTTGAAACCAATCAAAAGCATGGTACATTTTGCATCCTGCGATCACATGCACCGAAAGGGAAAAGTGATATCAGTGATAATGAGAAAACTGCTAATTTCACTTTTTCTTCGTTCAGTGAAAAGAGTTGTGTTACATGCTACTCTTTTGCTTTAACAGTCGTGCGGTGAAGATTCTGTTCGAGATACTCAGTGGTTACACACAGGAAGAGCAGAGGCTATTTTTACAGTTTGTCACAGGCAGCCCAAGGTTACCAGTGGGAGGTAAGAATCTCTATCGTTTTTTTTGGCGGTTTTTTTTTTTAATTTCAAACCATTTGATTAAGTGCTCTTGACATGCGTGAAAGAATTTGATGATTTAATATTCAACAAAGCTTTCGTCTTATTTTCACCTTTACATCAGCGTGTATTTAAAAGAATCTCCAGATTTCAAAAAGTATTAGTGCCATCAAATGTGGGAATGATATATCAGTCTGTTTGTTTTATCGTAGGCCTGCGCAGTCTTAATCCACCGCTGACCATAGTTCGCAAGTCGTTTGAGCCTCCACTATGTGCTGATAACTACCTGCCGTCTGTCATGACCTGCGTCAATTACTTGAAACTGCCAGACTACTCCAGCAAAGAGATCATGGCTGGCAAGCTAAAGCTGGCTGCCTTAGAGGGACAGCGTTCATTTCATTTGTCTTAAGTTTGTACACACCACCCGAAGTGTACGCTCCTGTACATTAACTGTCGTACGCGTCGAGTTGCGGCCGCTTGACGGGATCGGAAGTGCTCTCATCAATTTTTTTGAATGTTCATGTTACCATCAAAAATCATGGCTAAAATTGACAAATTCGTTTAATAAAGTAATGGTTAAATTTTGATAATAATGCTTTACTAACTATTAAGTTCATGTTAAAGGTCGTTGACCAACCACTTGACTCTCCTAAGTAAGACGCTTTATTATTGCTACAGTAATAGAAAGACCTTATTGCAATATGCAGTTTCATTTATGTTCTAGCTTTCTGCCTTTTTTTTTTTCCTTTTTCTTCTTTGAATTTCTCTACTTACGGTTGAGAATGCTAGAATTAATTGTTTGTAATATATTTTAAAACGCCTTATATACATAGCAATTGTACATAAACGTCACAGACTATTTGCTCCTCAATTTAAATCTTGTTCAGAGCCCTCACGGTGTTTAACTGTGCCATTATCTCCTTCCCTTCCATTCCCTTTTCTTTTTGTTTTAGGGATTCTTCTTATTTACAATCAGTGAAAAGCATATTGTACACATATTGGAATAAGGTCGCTTGATAAAAATCACTAACTTTGATTATTGAATACACGTTTTAAGGAAAAGAAATTGAACCACCGAGACTATGCAAATTAACATTGTTTACTAAAAATATGAAAGCTGTGTACATGAAGCAGCAGTTAAGGATGTTCACAGCCGCTGTAAATAAATCGACTATAGTTGACTTGTTTCAGTATCATTCTATGTTTTGCTCGTTACTTTGCACAGGAAGGAAACCTAAATTTTTGTAACTGTACAAAGGCCTAATGGTACCACTACGTAACAGTAATCTGTATTACTGACGTATGTGATGTTTGCTTGGAAATAAATAAGAAGGAAAAATTAAGTGGTAATTTCCAATAATCCTATTTAGGATCGAATTATTTATGGTAGGTATTCCTCTTTCCCTGTAGACTGAAACAAAGTCACGTATTTACAATAGATTTAGCGAGGTTTTTAGCGCAGTTGAAAGCTCTTCTTTCCGTTATTGGGACTGTTGTTGCTTACTATGATTTCATGTCAAGAACCGCTAGCCACACGGCGCTAAAAAGGAATTTTTGTGCTTGCGCATTTGAGGTCTGGAACAAGATGGGGATCGACCCCTTCCTGGTTTCTTTTTTTTTTTTCTTCTTTTCTTTTTTTTTTCTTTTAATCTAAACATAATCCAGACTTTGGATTGTTCCTTATCGATTGATAATTTAAGTTGCTTCGCAAGAAGTCAATGGTGTAGCAGATTTTTCAGTGTCATTTCGCCGTACTCTTTTGTTCCCTAGACTTTTGTTCCGCTGTGTTCTTCGGTACCGTAACACCAAAAAAACGACGCCAACCAAGAACAGACCGAATATAGCACTGACTACAATCAGTCCTGTCCGCAGATTTGTGGCAGAGAGCTTCTCAGGCTGACCTGAAAGCAAATTCATTAGATATATGTCATTTTTGCGTTAGTAAATCACGAAAGATGGTAAATTTTGGCTTTGGTCGTCAAATTTAGAGAGATGTTTAGCAGTTGTCGAGAACGTAGGACGGAGGAATAATCTGATTCACTCACAAGGGTACAAACATCCGACCTAACAATCTTGAGTCCGGAACTTAAGTTAAACTCATAGGCGAGTTAGTTCATGTACTATTTCGATATCTGTCAAGTGCACTGTGTGATGCTTCGATCAGCAATTTTACTTTGAAAAGGGTCTTTTTCCCACTTATTTAAGATTGAGAGGTCACAATAACATAGATTTTGAAAAAGAACCATTCCCTACCTTGAGTAGGCTTGGTGGTAAGTAGTGTGGCGCTTGTCATGCCTGCTACTGTTGCGTTATTCGCTGCGGTACTAGGAATTTCGTCATCTGAAAAAAAGAAAAAAAAAGTATATTAACCAAAAGTTAGTCGACATGCCTTTTTTTTTACTGTCACCTAATCAGCTTTGTTGAGAGAGCGCCGAACTGCCATGGGAGCTCCCCACCAGACGAACATGCATGGTGCTAAAGCAACGCGCAGGACGGGTTATTTTACTTATGACTTATGGGAATGTAATCCTCTAAAGGAAGGGCGATAAACCGCTAGGTTCGTCTACTTTAGAGTTGCATATTTATCAAGGATGTCTAGGGACCCACACACTTGGCACTGTGAGTAAGACATGGAGTACCTGTTTTGGTATCTGTGTGTCATCTGTCATGGATGGGGTTGGGAATGCTCCGAGAAAAATCCACCCACTTTTCTACTCTAACGATCGGAGTGTGAATATAGCATTCACCTCACTCACCTTAAAATGCATTATTTTTGTGGTACATGCAAATCAAGACAAGTTTATATATATTTCACCTGAAAAGAAGTTGAATAATTTGTGCTTTTTGTCACTATTTTAGTTCCCTTACACCTACATTTTCCATAAACAGTGAGAACACGAGTTCGTTTCTTTCCATTAGGGTGGTTAACTGTCTCAAACAAGTACTGTCGTAATCCTCTCTTTACTCTGATCTCCACTGCTGACTTTGTGATCACGAGAGCTGAGTGGGAAGTGATGCTTGATTTTAAGAGGACCATGTCAGGAAGAGAGTACCAGGCCACTCGCGGCTGAGGTTTTCCAGTTACAGAGCAGGTCAGTGTTACTGGTTGCGCTTGTGAGGCGGTAAGAGTAAGGTTAGGAGTGCAATTCTGTATCTGTACAGGTACTGAATCAAAAAATAAAGAACACTTTGTTACCGCTATGACATCAGCCTATTGTAGAGTAAAAAACAAAAACTTAGTCGATCAAGGTATTGCGGCTTTAGAAGTTTTAGGCGAATACTCAGTATCTAGTACATGAAATAAATAACCCCTTGGGAAGTCCAGCCTTCTGATAGAAACGTATTTAAGTATTTAAGGCTGTATCTACGCGAACTCACCAACTGTTCGCAAGAAAATTGCATGAGAATGACACATGAGTACGTCATTGAGTACAAACATCTCATACAATATACAGTAGACATTCTCCATCGCGGTTGAATAATTTGTAATCCTAAAGAACACCATTCTTCCGCTCAGATCAGCATCCATTGTTGCTCGTCCGCTATACAAACCATCATGATAATCATCGTAGGTTCTAAAAAACTTTCCACTATCTCCAGCAGAGGCTACTTTCTCCATCACAAGCTGAACTGGCCTTTTCAAGGCAAGCACTGTGAATCTTGTCAGTCGTTTGATGTCAATATCTGCGGGAATTTGCCAACAAAGTGTGACATTGTCAGTTTCTGCTGCGTACGTCACAGCAGGGCTTGGGCAGGAGGAACATGCTAAGTAACAAGAGTAAACATATCATGAGGTTTAACTCTAAACCGCGTAATTTTGATGCAAGATCAAATTCAAACAAGTTATCTTAATTTTCCATTTTTCTTCTCTTTGACGGACTTTTTACAGTGTTATAAGTTGTTCTGTATCGAATTTCAATGCTATTATGGCCTATGACAGTGTACTCACTTGGTGACATGTTTACCAATACTGCTGTGATTATTGCCAAAGCGATGAGCATTTCTGTGATACTCACTGGTGGACGGCTTTTTCTGAATGCAAAAGACAAATGTAGAAATAAGTTTATTCATGGACCCCATTGCGGACCCCGTGTTTTGATACACTGTGAAGTATTTAGAACTCACATCCCATAATCTAATTTGTCAATGAATAATTTATCCAAGTTTATGAATAAAGGATAAAGGGGTAAGTTTCCAAAGAAACTGAGGTGCTGCGTCGGTGGGGCATCATTAAACGATTTGGCTAACGTTTCGAGTGTTAGCCCTTCGTCTTCAGCTCTGACTCTGAGAAAACGCGCGAAACGTCCGCCTTAGAAACTTTATACAGGGCCAATTTACATTATCACTCAGATGATAACATCAAATCATCTATTTCATTACGGGTGGTATATTACGTTTATAATTATATGTTTTGGCATTGCTCTGCAGAAAGATTCCATTCTTTTATTTTTTTAAGTCATAATTGATGAAAATTGTACAGGGATTTATCGGAAATGAGAGATGTAAGTAGAAAGTATACTGAATACCTACAACGATCGATAGAAAGCTGCTTCATCAATATTCGAATCCGTAACCTATAAGATACTCCGAAACTCCATCAATTTTGCGTGCTCGTATTCTCATGTAGAATTGCACCAGTGAAACAAATGGATTCACAAGATAAAGAAAAACCTCTCTTTCGATCTTTATTAAAACTACGATGCTGCCAATAGAAAAACTTCCTCTTGTGCCTTGCTAAGTCAACTAATTTCACGATGAATAAAACCAATATTGAATTAAGATCACCGCAGCATAGCATCATAATCTTAGAGTTACCGTGATTTGTTTTGTTTTGATGAACGCGTAAATCTTCAAACGCAAAATCGGACGTCTACACCCTTTTCATCTACATGCTTCGGTTACACTTAGTCTATCATGCAGTTTCATCATGTTTTTCACAGGGTCTAAGTATGATCACTCCTTACAGTTGAGTTTGAGTGGCTTCCTTTTTGTTTTTAATTAAGCAGATGCTTTAAAGACCCCATGTACACTGTCAACATTTTCGTCTGCGACCTTCCGCAAAACATAGCTTAACTTATTAAGTATAACGGAAGGATGATACAAGTTTGCTGGTGAACTAGTGTTCCCTGTCATGTTCTTTTTCGAGTCACCCGAGACTTCGGAGTGCTGACAGATCAAACCAAATTTGCGGATTACATCAACTTGTTGGGTCACGCAAATTTGTACGAACTTCGCCCTTCGAAAACAAAATGTCTTAATTAAATGTGCTTTTCTTTTTCTTTTGTCAAAGAAGTAGACAGATTGGGATTCGAAATATTTTCTCGACGTTTGATTATATCCGCAACACTCAGCTGAACTCTTCAATTCAACATAACCATCAAAAATTCAATATTGCGTTAGGTCACCTTTGAAACCAAGGTAAAGGGTTTGACACATGACTTACACAAGAAACTCTACGCTTGCATTTGCTCGCACGGAAAGAGCACGGTATTGAGATAACATTTCCATAGAGAGACGTTTCATATCAATACAAAGTACGTTTCAATACAAAGTACATATTCAAACACAAGTACGGTTTAAGAATAAAGTTTTCAAGGGAGTCTGTTCGCGCAGCTGTTGACTGTTTCCAGTTCAATTCACTTCATCACCAGCTGACGCTTGATAAAATTTTTAAAACCGTTGAAACATTCAAGCTTTCCCATTTATCTTTTATTTTAGATTTCTTGAGCCACGTGGTGTCCCTAATAACTCAAAATAATCTAAAGTGCCTTCTCTATTTTAGGACCATATGTGTTGACCTTTTTCAAAAGAAAAAAAAAACCATATCACATGCTCAGAAACGAGGAGAACCGTGCCATATGCTCCCCATTTATGATGGACTCAAATCCTTCTAGTACAGACTAGCATGCAAATATATACCGCGGTAATTTTAGGAATGTTAAAACTCGAACCCTGTGTTCAAGCCTAACCAATGCAGGACTTTTATCACTGAAGGTCTGAAGGATGTACCCCTTTCTCTCAAAACTTGAACGTCGGCAGTTTAACTTTGTGATTTTGCATTTATGCAGCAAAATAAAGCCAAACTGAAATTTTTCAAGACAATAAAAATTTTTGGAAGTGACTGCGAAGGAAATTTGTTTCTGCAGTAAAGTTTGTGCCGCGATCTACAACGAAATCGTAACTGTTTAACTTTTTGAACTCTGATCTTCAGACATGTGCAGTGCTACATCTTTACACGCCTATGATGTCATAATGGTACAGCCATCGCTTGATTGCAGACCCAATTTTTTTTTAAATATCTCTTATCTCCTTTGTTTCCGGAGAGGTCTTCACGAAGAGACGAGCAAAGAGAAAGAGATACAACGACTAAAAGATATCCAGCTGCGAAGAGAATTTAAAATCATATAACTTGTCAAATGAATGTTGTCAATCACAAATTGTTCAAATTTTTTTATCACGAGTCGGAAAATCTCCAGCTACCGAAATAAAACGTTAAACTTTTCATAGACATTGTTTAAAGATGCTGGGTATTTGTTCTACATTTCAGTGCGATACAGATGGAAGAAGAATCATCTCATTCACTAAAACTCTGTTGTGGTTCACTCATCATTAAAAAAAATGTGTAGTTAGTCGTAAGTAAAGTTTGAGTATCGTTTTCAAGGACAATTTTTCACTTATATAAAATGTAATGAAAGTATTCACATGTAGTAGCAGAAAGTGACAATATTTTTCTCCATCTAGCTCTCTTTCCCTTTCTTCTATTTTTTTTCTTTTTTTTAACCCGAACAGCCCCAGGCGTTAGGTATGATGCGCTCTGTTTCTAAATTCATTATATGGCTTCACCTATGCGCAATTCTCACACCACAAAAGCACGAATTTTTAACCTCACTAGCCGTGGTTAACTTTGTGATACTGCTACACATACCTTTTGATATGGTAATGTACGAATGACAGCAATAAACCGTTGAAGTCGACAAGAAAAGTGAAAAATAACTTCTCAGTTCAAGGCCTTGAAAATTATAAATCCATTACCCAGAGAAGTTAGCTTCTCACGAGAGCCTAAAATCATTTGATAGACTTTGAGCTTGTTACGTGTTCATACGGGGAGTTTGGACTCAAAAAAGAAATGTTTGTGTAGGATAACGATCGATCAAGGTTCAATGTTCGAATACCTGTGATTATTACATCATGAGTTTTTCTTGTCTTTGTCTGCTCTATTATATTAAGAAGTCACTGTTTTCAGCAAACTGCGAGGTCAGAACTGCCGCTCTTAGCCAATATCAAAATTGATTTGGAATGAAAAGAAAAAAGACTCCGTGCTAAAGTCTTCTTCTAAAACCATTAATTGATTTTAGTTTTTTTTTATTCTTGAATAATCCATCTATTTTCCTTTGGACTTTAACCTCAATTCCTTAATGCTTGTTTAACGCGCACGCTACCTACCATCTTCATGATAAGGCCACTCGTGTTTGGTAAGTTAATTTGACCTGACAGTATTGGTGTTACGTAAGGCCTTTCTGATAAATTCTAACGTCGAGGAACCTAGCAGGACTTCACTTGAACCAGCTCTCGTGAGAAGGTTTGTGATCGCCACATGACTAAAAATAACACAATTACCCTTTGTTGCCTTTAATATTCTCGATTCACACTTCCGTGAACGTGATCGTAAAGCTCGATTTACTTGCATGGGAGCATCTCAACAGTCATAGAATGGTCATACAAATCTGTGACTGCTGACTGCTAACTGGCTGACGGTTTTCGTAGTAGGGACCTCAAGGACCCTGAGCACGTAATACGCAATGTAAGTGGTTAGTCATGAACGTTTGACGCACGCTTTGCTTCCATCACACTACAAGGACACGATGAATAAATACCTGATCACCGGGTCAAACTTATAGGCTAGGTGTGCAGAGAAAAAAGCATTTTAGATATGGTTTCAGTCATTCTCGGTTTTTCGTCGATCACTGACTATCGTTCTGATTAGAGGAGGAGCAAAAAGTTGGTGGGAGGTTGCTCTCGCAACGAACACTCCGAATAAATTTCCGGAGAGAATTTTTGTCTAAAAGAACCGATATTTGTGTAATGGACGGCATTAACTGAAGCTGATTTTACTAGTAATATTAATGCACTTGACAATGGACTACAACTGCATTATCCAAGCCAAGTCTCAATTAAATTTTACTGCACGATCCCACGATTGTCGGATCGGGGTCATTTTTCTCTTATTCTGACTTTCGCTCGAATTGTTTGACTGACCTTCAATTCATAACAGACAATACTTACTGTTGTCCTTATAGAAACCGATTTTTCAGTTGACCGTCCTAAATTTGCAATTAGTCAATCAGATGTGTGATCTATTGACCTGGTAGTAAAATGATTCCGAGTGCAATAAGCACAAGCAAATTTTTCAAAGACGAGAAAATTTCACGGGCCCGTAGAGCGAGCGCAGTTTTTAGTCTTCTAAAATTTTACAAGTGCCTATTTACGCCTAATTGAGTGAGAACTTTGTTATTTATTAATAATTTATATGAAAAAACCATCACAGAGAGTCAAGAGGGACGAAATACCCAAATGTTGACAGCGCGCGCTATTTGTAAATGGCACTCGTGTTTCAACTTTGCACTCGTGTTCAGCCAACCTGACGCGGGTAATGTTTTCATGTGTATTATTAGGCACGACATCACGGTCGCTTTCAAGTAAGTGAAAGCTGTCATATGATTAATTAAGAAAGAGGTACAGCCAAGTAAGTGCTATTGTAGGTTTGTTGGATCGGGGTCATTTAAGAAAAATTTCAAGACTTAGACGATTTCTTATATCGTTAATATTGACAGTTACCACAATGTCCAAAGTACCGCTATGCCTCTACCAAGCACAAAGGACAAGTTGGCACTCACTGCTTGGTTTCGGAGGCGTTCAAAACGCTGAGAATTCTTCTTATCACAATCTCCCCAAACTATAAACACAAATATAGTCTGTTTATAAATTCTTAATAACATTTTTCTACTTAAGTAAGATAAAAATTCGATTGGACATTTAAAGCTCAAGATGAATCGTAAGAGACATAAATCTCGAGAGATGAAATAAATTCTAAGAGATTATCTACAGTATGTTACTCGTATATACTCGTGTGTATCCGTATGAAACTCGTTTGTACTCGGGTGTGTCCCTTTTTTACTTGTATGCATTCGCATGCATCCGTCCGTTTCTCGTATGTTACTCAAATACTCTTGAGGTGTTTGAGTCACGCAAGAGAAAGTAACACTTTTTGGGATAACTAATGGTAGGTTTAGCTATCTTACTCATAACTAATGTCGCGAGTACTTAAGGTTACTTAGCACCTTCAGTGGCCGAAAAAATCAATTTTTCTTTTATTTGAAAAAACTGAATTCGAACATTCAACCTAACGTTTCTATAAAAAAAAATATGAGATCTATAAAAGCACTCAAGTTATTTAAAAAAACGTATTTTCAAATAAAAGTTAATAAATCAGTAAGGTGTTATAATCTCGGACCTAGGCGAATCCCCTGGGGAAATTTTCGCGGCAACCGCTGTTGTTGTGTTGGGGGTCGATTTTCATGTTGTTTCCATATTTTGTTTAAATCGCGCACTCTACAAAATTGACAGATGGAAGCTCTTTGTTCATGGAAAAATCTTTGCTCGTGGAAAATCAAAAGCGGAACAAAGTCCTTAGTAAAAAAAAAAACAAAACAAAACAACAACAACAACAACAACAAAAAGAACAGGCCAAAGAAGAAAGAAAGAGTACCATTCTGTTAAGAAAAGAATAAAAATTCCTATGTGAAAGCGACTGGTACTGTCAGAGCTCCATGCTGGTGTCCAGATTTCGAACAAAGAAGTCGCTGTTAAACCAAAGTTTGCCATAAATGATGTTAAAAACAAGGTTTCCTTTTCTTTATGCAAGTACCAGCCTTGATACAAAAACATTAACAATTGCCTCGAATCGTAATTTTGAAAGCTGTATGTCGAATCGTTGTCTTGCTCCTCAGCATATTTTGCGGTTTTTTTCCATTTTTGTCGCAGATTTTTCCTTTGCCTTTGGCAACTTTGATCATTATTGTGTCTTCCTCCTCAACGCTCCACTGAGCGATCCAGATAAAAAAGACGTGTCTGCAATGGGTTACTTTTCCAGGGAAATCTTCATCCATCGTCACTGACGCTAAGAGGTCCCGTTGTCTTGATAGTTTTCGGCGCGAGTTGTTTACCAACCTTTATGAATCTCGCATTTGATTTTGGGAGACACACAACCACTTTGAGCGAATTTATAAGGTACATATCTTTGACTGATTTTCTTCAAATTTCGCCAAACATTGTAAGAATAATAACAAACGAAAGTATGTCGGGAAATTTTGATATTAGAAATATTTGTCCCGTGGCGTCCATTTACACAACACGGCTCGCATATTTTTAGCTACTCCAACTTTAGATGCCGATAGCTAGACAACCAATCAGAATATCGATAGAGTCCGACGCTCTTTTTTTGATTGATGCCTTATGAATGAGACTGTGCAGCCATTTTGCTCGTGCTGCAGCATCCGCTACCCGATAAATTCAATAGAAGAACCTTCGGTCGTTTCACGCCTTACCGGCTCCTGACACTTCCTTAAAAGAAAGGTCGCTTAAATTATATTTTTGTCGTGAACTGCATTTATTCAGCTTTCTTCTGATATGTAGTTTGCTAGGATTATAGTGAAACTAGCGTGCTTACGAAATATTTCCCGAAGGACACCCGCGAAGGTGGGAAGTAACCTTAATTTTGCGTTTTTCGCGATTGTAAAGCATTAGTCACATTAACATGATTACATTAGCACCTTGCCCCCTTTTTGCTTCTTTTTTGCCCGATTGTTATGATAGTATCTTGCGCACTTTTAGTTTTCGTGGTTTCCTTCTTGCACGTCGAGTTCTCGTGCACTTTTGGTTTTCCTTGTTGTTCGTTTCTTTGGTGAGAAACTCGCCCACTTTTCGTTTTCGTTGTTGTCCGATTGTTACGTCAGTATCTCACTTTTTGTTTACTTGTTGTCCGATTATTACTTTGGTATCTTGTGCCCTTATATCATTTCCTTTGTTATACAGTTGTTACGTTAGTACCTTGCAAACTTTTACTTTTCCTAGATGTCCGAAAGTTACGCTAGTATCTTGTGCACTTTTTTTTCCTTGTTGTCCATTGTTACGTTAGCACCTCATACACTTTCATTTTTCCTCGTCGTCCAATTATTTCTTTAGTATCTCCTTCAATTCTCGTTTTACCCGATATTTTTGTTAATATCTTGCACACTTTTACTTCTACCTGTTGTTCAATTCTTACGTTAGTACCCCGCGCACTTTCATTTTTCCTTGATGTTCGATTGTACATTACTATCTCGTGTACTTTTTCTAAGAACCCTTGCATGTAAAGCTCCTGAACGGGAAAGCCTAAACTTAACGTACGAAATTGGTGTCTCTGAACTTAAGGCTCGAATTCAGGACCCCTGAATTTAAGGTATATATTTATTGCCACTGGAGGCAAGGCACAAATGTAACACCCTTGGATGAAAGCCACCGATTGTGGTAAGGTACAAATTGTACCTGAAAATATAAGGTTCAAGCCCCGCGAGCAAGATGGAAGTTTTTTTAATTCTAAAATTTTAAACGGTTTTTTTTATGACACAGTTAACCACGACAAAGGGAATTACATACTTTCATATTGTCCATCTAAAGTGACTGCAAAGAGTTGGAGCTAAAGAAATTAAAGAAACAAATCACTCAAAGATAGAAATTAAACTTTATTACTTGAGTACAACCACTGAAATGTTGGAAAAAATCTCCATTATTCATCTTGAAAGAAATCTGCTGGAAAAAAAAAAGATATTTTAATGGAAAATTCTTCATAAATATTTCTTTTTTTTTCTCAAGTTTTACAATAGGAATTTGACTCTACTTCAAACCACTGACTATACTTACAATTCCAGTCTCCATCGCCATCTCCATCATTGTCACCGTCGCACTTACTGATCACTCACTATCATCCGGAGGTTTACAAGACTCCTAAAAAAAAGTATATAAGAATCACACCACAAATTGGTGTGTTTTTGTGTTGATCACAAAAGTTGCATATTTGTTTTCCAAAAGAAAGGGCAAATGTTCACTAAAAAAAGACACGCAGTGGATAAATGCTAAATATCTCTAGTCATTACCTCATCTAAACACCTTTCACTCCTCTTTCACTGAAGCATTCTTTTGCGAACCTAGATGTGAATGATCAAAAGCAGCATTAAAGAATATTCACGAAAAGAGGACGTACATGTAGCCAATTATTTTTCAAAACTTATATTTCATACATCATTTATCTATTTTACTGTGTATTATTTCTACTCTTAGAATAAAAAATATCAGTGTTACTGTGTTTGTCTCAATTCTCTTAATGACACTACAAAATCCTTAACCTCAAACTAAATCTTCAAATTTGAAGACAATCAAAAGTCAACTGCTCTGATTGCAATTTTAAGAAAGGCGGTCAGTCAGGTGCTAAGGAAATGCTCTCGCACACCCCATGGGACATGGCCTTTGTCCACCATGATATCATGACCTTAATTGGAGATAACTTTTTCATATAATTATGGTTTTCAAAAAGGATATCATATGATTTAAAAAATACACACAATAAAATTGGACGCCATAATTTATAAAAACTATTAAAATGTACAAGATATCATCTAGAATCATTCAATTGTAAATTTAAAAGATCACGCGTAAAAATATTTACTCTCTCGGATGGTCTGATTGCCTGGCTACGGGAGTTAATCCTTTGGATACTCGGAAGTCTGAAATTTAGTTTCGTTCTGGTGTTTTAATCATGTTGTTCCTGGTGTCGCATGAAATTCATATCATGCTGAGCAAGTCCAGTTAAACACTTACACGCATATATGCAGCCTCTGAAAATTCCCTTTTTTTATGAACATTGTCTCTGTCATTATCACCGTCACTGTCTCTGTTACCGTCAGAATCACTGACACCTTCGGTGCAACTTTTTTTTAATATCACGCCATGGTCACTGTCTGTCACTTTCACTGGCTGTCTCTTCTCTCTTATTGTCACCGTCAATGTTTTTTTTTTCTGCCACTGTCCTTGTCATTGTTCGTGCTGTTGTCACTCTCCTACCTCTGTTGCTGTTAGTTTGACTGTTACTTCATTTTCACCGCCTTTGTCACTCTGCCTCTATGTCTCTTTGACTGTCTTTTTGTCTGCCTATGTGACTGTCAGTGTCACTGATCCCTTTATACTGTTTCTTTGACTGTCTATGTCATTGTCACAGTCTCTGTTAGGGTCTTTGAGCTGGAAAGAGTCACACTGAAGTAACTGTGACACAAAGACCCTGACAGAGACTGTGACAATGACATAGACAGTCAAAGAAACAGTATAAAGGGATCAGTGACACTGACAGTCACTACCACTTTTACTTTTATGTCACCATCAATGTCACTACTTCCTTAACTGTCATCATCATTGTTACTATCGCTATTCTGTGAAAGTCATTGTCTTTGTCCCTGCTTCAGTAGTTATCTCTAACCCTCTTACTCTCACTGTTATTATCTCTCTCTGTCTCACTCTCAATGCCACTCTGTTTTGTTTTAACTCTCATTTACACTGTCTGTGTTGGTGTCACCGGCATTGTCATTATCATTCTCACGGTTTTTCTTACTATCTCTGTCTCAGTCACTATTACTTCATTGACTGTCTTTGTTACTCTTTTCTGTGTCTTTTTTTGTCACAGTCAGAGTCACTGTTATTTCATTACAAATATCTTTGTCACCGTTAAAAACTATCTCTGCTACTGTTGTTGTTGTCAGTGTCACTTTCTCTTTCGCTACCTCTGTCTTCATGTCTCTCATTGTTTCTGTTACTGTGCTTCTGGAATAGAAGAATAAACTTTAATAGATGTTCCTCAAAAGGTTTTTCAAAATCTATTTACAATTGTACAAAGATGTAAAATAATAATATTAACAATAAAATATGTAATTATTAACAACTAAAGATGAAGGTTCATGCTAACATTGTGTGTGGAGGTACTCCCTAATGGCGATCTTAAAAGATTTCAAAGATTTCAAAGAGGTACGAGTCCCTTTTGCGTGTGTAACGAGCATGAATACTAGAGCGCTTGATGAATTTATCGCTCAGGTATTGTGGAGCAAGGTCATTAAGACTCAAACTTCAACTTTATTGTATAAATAAATAAATAAATACCATCAATTAAAAATGCTATAAAATCGCTAAGATGTAAGAAAAAGACAATTTAAGAGTAGGGGCTAGAATGTGAACTGTATTGTGGTATCTCTAAGATGTGCTGCTGTGGTGTTTTAGAGTAACACAAGCTGTAACTACTATCATTATTATATATGTACGTACTTAGGTCTAGCTTCCTGATCTTTCTCTAAAAACATTGAATACGAGATGACCGTTTTACTTCCCTATTAAGTTTCGACTACAGGTATGGTCACATATATTTGATGGTATGCCTACCATAGTACCCCGTATGCACGGCATGGTAAAGTTACAGTTCCTAAGCAAATATCGCACATCTTTGAGAGTAAACATTTCAGAAATACATGGTATCGCCAGCCCATCTGACTTTGTTCATTAGTACAACTTTATTTTCAAGTTGTCTGTTGATTCATGTAGGTAGTTTTCTTGTCGGAGGAGCTCTTAATAACTCTCGGAATGGGATCTATAAATCGGTTTAAGAGCTCTCTCTTTCAAATGTTCCAAGTTTTTAGCATCAGAAGCTTTACAGAAAAGCCAAATCGAATGGCAATATGTCAGATGAGGCAAAATAAATCTTTTGTTAAAGAAAAGTTTTGTGTTACAAGGTATGGTGTTGCAAAGACGCGTAAGAACTCAAATTTTCTTAGTAGCTTTCTACTGACATCGCTAATAATAATAATCACCATCATCATCATTATCATTTATTTAGTGCTTTTTACATAAATGTCCAAAAGCGCTTAACAGAGTGTGTGCAATAAAATAAAATTATAAAACCCAAGACAGAATTTACAAGATCATCACTGTTTCTAAATATTTAAATATTATTAATAACTATAAAAGATAAGATAAATATGGGGGTAGAGTCTACCTTGGCATAAAGTGCTCAATGCTGTGGTAGCAGAGCTGGGTATATATAGGTGAAAGAATCAAAGAGGACGCATCGATTCTCTGTTACTCTGAGTTTCGCGCCTAAGCGCTCATCAGAGTTCTGTCTGACGAGCGCTTAGGCGCGAAACTCAGAGTAACAGAATCAATGCGTCCTCTTTGATTCTTTCACTTATATAAAAGATAAGATATGTTTTAAAATGATTTTTAAACACTCTTAAGTCTCACAGAATCATATATCCTTTTCGTAAAGAATTCCAAAAACGCGGGGTGGATACTGAAAATGATCCATAGCCATACAAACATAAATTATAATGTGGTACTTTCAATTTCCTTTTTGTTTGAAGATCTACATGTTGAAGTTACTGTCTCTGCCACTGTCAATTCTTTGTCAATTTCACAACTATATATGCCATCGTCAGTGTCATTGATTTTTACTGTCTCTGTCAGTGATACTGTCATCTTTTTCTTTGTCTCTCTTTCACTGTCAATTTCCCTGTTTCTCCCCCTGTACCCATCCATTTCATTCTCCCTGTCAATGTTAGTCTCTGTTTATCTAACTTCAAGTGTATCACTGTCACGGTTTTTGTCACTCTCACTGTCACTGTCATGCTTACTGTCTCTGTTAGTGTTGCTGTAACGGCCACTTCATCGTCACCGTGTCTTTCTCTCTAACAGTCACTTTCTCTAACACTATCAATCTCTCTCTTACTGTTACTGCCTGTCGATGTCACTATCTCGCATTTTGACTGCCACTGTAACTCTCAGTGTCAATATCACTCCATCGTCACTCCCTATCATTGTTACTGTCTCTGTCACTGTGGTTCTTACTGCCTTGGTGTAAATATTGCAAGTGCTGGGGTGTGTCAGATTCAGAAATATATCTCAAAGTCCGAGTTTTCCAAAAAAATTGTCATTTTTCGTGGACAGATGATGCCCTATATACTTTTAATGAAGACAATAAAAAGGCGTGAAGAAAAAGGAGTTCAAATTTTGATCGCAATAACAATCTTGAAAGATCGATTTACTGATTTTGAGTGCACAACATCGTCCACCCCCAGTATTAGAGTACATCGATGTGTCTGTTTAACAATGGAGCCATCCTTTCTGCATGAAACATTTGAGCCATTTTTGATTAGCACATGCTACTAGATCAACATGTGACCAGTACTTGTAAGGCCTGCTTCTTCCACCTTAGAAACATCAGCAAAACGTTAAAAAAAAAACGTTAGTTCACGCATTAATTACATCTAAGCTAGATAACGTCAATTTTTTTTCTTGATGGATCACCAATAAAATGTCCAGAATGCTGCAGCCCATGTTATTACTCTTTCAAGATATTAAGACTAACCTTCCAAGCCCTTACTGTCCAGGTACACTCCATCTGTCAAGCTAGTAAGTTATGGCCATAAGTGTCTCTCTTTAGTGGCACCCAGCTTATGGAACTCTCTTCCCAACAATATTAAACAGAGAAGCTTACTACTAAATTTTAAGACCCCTTTGAAGATACATCTTAGATTGTAAAAATTGCCAGTCTTGTATGTTAGGTGACTTTAACATTAACCTTTTTTCGAACTCTGCATTACTTAAACGCTTTATTGCCTTAATTAAGGCTTAAACGCTTTATTGTCTTTACTAAAGCTTAAACGCTTTATTGTCTTAACTAAAGCTTATGGTTTTCATCAGCTCATTTCTGTTTGTACAAGACCAGTATCTGGAACACTTTTGGACCATGTTTTGGTTAATTGTAGTGATAATGTTCTTGAATCAGGGACCCTATCGTTAACTCTAAGCGATCGTCTTCCTACTTATGTCTCGCTGAAATCAGGAGCCACTAAGCTACAATCTAATCTAATCTAAACCAATGCTTTTTCCCTCAAAAAATAATTTTTCTGTTGATGCCTTTCTGGCCGATTTGAGCTGCTTCTGGATTCGCAATTTGGTTCCCGTAGTTATCACTCGGGTGAGCTTGCTATGGCCAATCTTTCTCATAACATTTTAACAAACATGGATAATAAACTCCTTAGTGGACTTTTACTAGTTGGCTTTAAGAAAGCATTTCACCTTGTGGATCATGATACGTTACTTGATAAACTTCGTATCTATGGCTGTTTCCATTTTTCCATGGCTTGGTTTTGCTCTTACCTATCTGGGCGTTCTTAGAAAACCCAGTTTAAGGGCACTTATCTGAAGCACTTTCAATCTCTGTAGGTGGACCGCAAGGTAGTGGACCTCTTTTCTTTATTATTCACATCAATGACTTGCCGTTAGAGCTACCGTGAATTCTACGATGTAAATGCGGATGATACTACTCTTCTTGTTCGAGGGCCCTCTATTACTTCCGTTAGCACTCAGTTGAATGAAGTTGCTAGAACTGTATCTACTTGGGCTGATAATAATCGAATGTCACTCAACACATCCAAAACTAAATCTCTACTTATTATAACTCTGC